ATGATAAAAAAGAAATTACTTAAAAACAGTTCCAAGCCATCCTATCAATATTCTCAGAAGGACTATTATTTCTAAAATGATTAATTAACTCAATTAAAAGTCATCAATTTCCCATCATAATGCTATTCTATTATTTTTCTTGGAAGTAGTTAATCCGAAGCTTCCTTAATATTTAATAGCATGGACATAGCATATTAATCGCAAAATATACTTTTAAAGCTAGTTAATGCATTATAAGAATACTCACATTAAATGTTATAATTTGTTATATAACCATGTTGTATTAGCTAGTTATGCTTACAAAAACTTTGGATTACTAGCAAACATGACAATATTACACCTTGATGTTCGATTTCAATTAAATGATTGAAGAACCTTTCGAGACAATAATCCATAAATAACTTTATCCTTCTCTGAAATAAAGAAATTAAACAAAAAAAAAGTGGGCTCGAAGTTTACTGCACTCAACATAGGTTGGTGAGTTTTATTCCAACCAGCATATTTAATACCAACTCCAACCAAATTGCCAATATCATGAACTCCAATATATCAATAAACAAAAATTGTTAGGTCGCTGCTAAATTTATTTAATTTGCACATCACTTTGATAAGAGTAAACAATGTGATTTACAATTGAAACTTCAAAGGCTCATTAGATTGGAAACAAAACATAGCAATATGCATTTTATTTTTCATCAAGATATAGCACTGCAAAAATTATCGCAAGGAGGTATATTCATAAAAGATATTCAGAAAAGGAGGCAAGAAGGGGCAAAGTTACATACACCTACCCATTCCTACAACTCTCTAATTGGCCAAAACATCGTGCACCAGGTTATACTTTACCTACTTAGGCTAATCTTCACATATAAAATGATATTATTTCACACATTCTAGGAATTAGATAAATAGAATAATGATCTAAGGAATTTACCTCGACTATGGAATCTTTCAACTTCTTATAAACGGATCCTTCTAATGCTCTCTCAGCAAGCTCATAAACGATAACATTTCCCTCAGGGCCATTAGTTTTCTCTTTCTGTAGAAATCTACATATTTTTTCAAGAAAAAAAAAAGATAGCAGTTTAATATCAAGCAAAAGACGTCTGCATTAAATTTTAGTTGTAACCAAATAGAGGCCAACCTCTGTTGCACAAGCAAGTCCAATGTTTGCTTGGTGTTCCCAAACACTGGATGGTTCTCATCACTCTCACTTAATCCCATCCGTCTTAAATGATGCCAAAGGTTCTCTGCGCGTGGAATAATGAATTAGATTGAAAAAAGACCAAATGTAAATCTATCCATGTAAAACTTTAACTATAAAACCCAAATATTTTGAAAGTAAAATGGAGATAGAGCTGGAGAGTACAGCTTAAAATAATCGGTATTTCGGTAAACTTAAACAAGAATAACCACAATAAGAATAACACAGCTATTTTAATAGAGAAAAACTTTTTTATTTAATCAAATTATTTATTTTATTTGAATAAGTAAAAAAAATAGTAGAGATTACACCAATTATATAACTAGATAAAATTAGCAATGAAAGATTAGACAGGACGAAGAGTGGACCAAAAATATAACCGATAGAAATTGATGCCAGAGCTGAACGTTTTTCCCAGAAATGGTAATGGGGCATTTACACACCTTCGGGGATCTTACCACCAGCGAGATGAATGATGCTGGTCACTACAAATGTAAACCCAGAAAGATGAGATGTCCCCTTGTCTTCAACAAATTTTTTGTAGATATCAGAAGGTAATTGGCTCTCAAGTATATAAGATTTTGTGTCAGCAACACCTGAAAACATTTATATAATTAACAAATTGCTTCAACAATTCTTAACCTAAAGCCTGCAAGAAAGTTCACTTGAAGTGATAGCAACGTCAAGGTGACAATCATGTAGTTGTTCAATAAGGAATGACACTAAAAGATATTGCATTGATTTTATCCAAAATAAGTTTTAAATGAAGTATTATTAAATTGGGGCATTTACATACATACCACCCAATTCT